AATATATTGACTTAATCCAATGATTAGAACACTAATGATTGAAATTCAAAGTCAGAGATCTTAAAGAGAAAAACTTTATTCAAAGTTTTGATACTCAGGAGGGTGAGGCAGGAATATCTCCATTTTCAAAGCAGCTTGGACTAAGTACTGAGACCATATTTCCAAAAACAAAAAACAAAAAGTAGGAGGTAGGGCTAAAGACGAAACCAAGTCCAGTGTTAGATCAGAAAGTGCAAATAGCCTCCACTTAACAAGATTGTAGAGGAAATAATGTTCAAGAGTGTCAGATTTAAGTAAGAAGTAGAAGTTGAAAGGCTTGTGTCAGATAGCTCATTAATATTAGGGATTTTACTAACAAATGACCCAGTTTTACAGATCAGAGTGGAAGGGTTGGGCATGTTGGAGTGAGAATATGGGTTGAATGGAGTGGGTTAGAGTGCAGAAGCTAATAATTTGGACTTGCTGTGAGGACTGGCATGAAGAGACCAAGTTGCCTTGGGACATTACGGAAGAGTACCAAATGCTTGGGGGTGGGGTGAGATGATCACCAAAAAGTAACAAGTGGGATGCCAGGCACCAGTGGCTCATGCCTTTAATCCTGGCTACTCAGAGGCCAAGATCTGAGGGTTGCAGTTCAAAGCCAGCCCAGGCAGTAAAGTCTGTGAGACTCTTTTCTCCGCTAAACTACAAAAAGCTGGAAGTGGAATTGTGGTTCAAGTGGCAGAGCATTATCCTTGGGCACAAAAGCATAGGGTCAGTACTCAGGCATACAGTTCAAGTCCCAGGACTGACAAAAATAAATACATTTATACACTTCCTCCAGATATAGAGGTTTCTTAGTGCTCTTTCCATATTTTATTCTATTATAAGATCTGAAGTTAGAATTTCTTTTTGAATTCTCCTGTTGTTTGCCATTCTGAAGTCCTTACTACTGTGCAAGGAAGAGATCAATTCTTAAGAGGGTGAAATGGATAGTGGGAAAAGACAAATGGTTTCCTTCTGGATCTCTCTGAAAACTCTCTAGAGCTCTGCAACTTCTGAAAATTTTCTGAGTCTTCTGGCTCTTGAAGATGAGCTGCTGTCACCTGGTGTTTGGTGAGTCTACTGATGAATAGATTCAACATATGGCAGTCTTTCCTCCAGTTGTATGATGTCATCATTCTGCTTGGAACAATAAACACCTACTTCATCATTTCTTTTGGAGACGGATGAATAGCTGAGTCAAGGTGTGGTTCTCCAAGAACACTACAATCCCTTGTGAGTCTCCTGTAATATGAGGCCAAAGATAATGCTAGCAACAGGTAATATGGGAAGTGAGTGTTTCACCACAAACAAAGGATAGGCCATTGAAGAGCCATATTATTGCTGAGTTAAGCCTCTGAACCATTACGGAATTGAAATCTGGCTCCACAGATGATATCATAAGAAGACAAACTTGTAGTAAGAAAAGAATTTAGAAAGCTGGTCCCTGGTGGCTCACACCTGTAATCCTAGCTACTTGGGAGGCTGAGATCTGAGAATCATGGTTCAAAGTCAACCTGGGGATGGAAAGTCCATGAGACTCTTATTAACCACCAGAAAACTGGAAGTAGTGCTGTAGCTCAAAGTGGTAGAGTGGTAACATTGAGCAAAAAGGCTCAGCAACAGCACATAGATCCTGAGTTCAAGCCCCACAACCAGCAAAAAAAGAAAAGAAAAGAAACAGACCAAGAATCAGGTACTGATTCTAAAGCAAAAAGTAAACTCTACCAAGGCAAAACCATTGTAGCTAGAACGAAGATTGGCAACAGTCCCAGTATATAAACTCTACCAGCCAGCCCACCCCCTCTCTCTACCTCTTTTAGACTTCTCCTCTACAAATTACAAATCCAGCAAATTTAAACTTCTTTCTACTTCATCTGATCCTTTCATGTAAGTTTTTTACCCATGTGTCTTAGCTTCCATGCCACATTCTTCCTGCACTGTTCCTCGCCTCCCAGATTAGAATAACCAGGTCTCTCCCTAATGCATACTGTCTTACACACTAGCTTCCCAATTTTTCTCATTACTTCTTTAGTGTTTTGTGTTCCCTACTAGACCATAACTTCTACAAAGGTAGCATATCTGGCTGCTTTTTGGAATACTACAGTATTGCTAAAGCCCAGTACAATGACTAGAAGAGAAACAATTAAATTTATTTGTATGTAATATATAATGTATATGTATATTATATATGTATATGTGAAATATATAATGTATATATATAATAGTGTATTATATATCTGTAATATAATACATACACATGTGTAATATGTGTATATTATAATTATATATATTATATACATATATGTATATATGCATATGCATTAGATACATATACATATGTATATGCATATATTATATACATATGAACATATGTATACATAATATATATTATACACTACATATGTGTAATATAAATATAAAATGTTAGATGGATATATTGTTCTGCTTAACATAACTGATCATTTAAATACCATATGTAGCAGGTCATCCTAGCTATCAGCTATACCCAGAAAACTATTATGGACTTATTTCAAATCTTTAAAACAAACAGCTCCTATAAAACAATCTCCTACTCAGTAGCGAATTTAGTAAAATGCAATATACACATCATTCAAAAACGCAACATCCATTTTATACTGTGGTCTCAATGGTCCTTCAGTATTTGTATTGAAATTTAATTGGCAAGTCAGTAAAACAGCTGGGATGTAGGAGGCAATTAAGTCACAAGGGAATGGAGTCGTGCTGTCCTCCTGTCATGAGCAGATGAATGCTGCCGTCATGGGAGGGGTCAGTTACTAGAGGTGGGTTCTTGTCATCTATGAATTCATTTTAGCCCTCCACAGTGTTATGTCTCAGCAGAGACCATCTTGAGATGTCAGGACCACACTCTTCAATTTCCCAGCTTGTATCATTTATAAATTACTCAATCTTCACAATTCTGTTACAGCGGCAGAAAACAGATTAAGACGTTATTTCTTACTTTCCTATTATTTTAATAAGATGGAGAAAGAACTGAAATGAAAATGAGACACTACTGTGTCACATCAAGAAAGGGATTCACGTGGAGGATATATTTAACATATTAATTCATATATTAGAAAGTTTACACAGACCTAGGTATGATATCCATAAAAATACAAAATTGTCTCTCACAATTTCCACCACACTTCTGACTTTATATATCATTTTCAAAAGGAAGAAAAATACAGACTAAGAGAGAGAGACTTATTAAAGATAGCTTTCCAGTAAAATTACAAAATGATAAAAAATAAAGTATATCAAAATACAGCATCACCAACAAGGGGCCCCTGACTTTACTTTGGAAGAGCTGCCTAAGGTACATCTAAAGCAAATAGCTATTAAAGGTCTTAGCCAGTTGGTCTTAGCCACAAGATGACATGGCTAAACCAACAAACTTAGTATTTTCTCAGCACATTTATATGTGAGAAATAGATCGATCATTTTAATGCATATTTGTAATACATCTAATTACATGATATGTGAAAGGCATTAGGGTTATTTTTTTAACTGCATCTTAAAAATCAATAGCTAAAGCAGGCACTGGTAGCCCATACCTGTAATCCTAGCTACTCAGGAGGCTGAGATTTGAAGACTGCAGTTCAAAGCCAGCCCAGGCAGGGAAGTTTATGAGTCTTACGAATTAATCATCATAAAGAGAGGAAAAAAATAAAAGCTGAAGTGAAGCTGTGGCTCAAGTGGTAGAGCATTAGCCTCAAATTGAAAAAGCTCAGGAACAGCCCTCAGGCCCTGAGTTCAAGCCTAGAACTGGCAAAAAATAAATAAATAAGGGGCTAGGAAGGTGGCTCAGTGGTAGAGAGCTTGCCTTGCATGCATGAGGACCTGGGTTCAATTCCACAGCACCACATAAGCAGAAGAAAAAAGCCGGAAGTGGCACTGTGGCTCAAGTGGTAGAGTGCTAGCCTTGAGCTGAAGAGCTGAGGGACAGCACCCAGGCCCAGAGTTCAGGCCCACAACCAGACCCCCCCAATTTTTTTTTTTTTTAATAAATAAGAAGAATAGCTAGCTAGGTACTGGTGGCTCACATCTGTAATCCTAGTTACTCAAGAAGGCTGTTTCAAGAAAGCCCATCGACCCTTATCTGCAATAAACTACCCAAAAAAAGCCTGAAATGGAGCTATGGCTCAAGCAGTAGAGTGCTAGACTTGAACAACAATAAAAAAACAAGCACCCAGGGCCTGAATTCAAATCCCAGGACTAACACAAAAGAAAAAAAAATTGGCTATCTGGGTGTTGATGCCTTATAATTGTAATCCTACCTACTCAGAAAACGTACGTCTGAGGACCTCCAGCCTGGGCAGAAAAGTCCACAAGACTTGTATCGCCAAATAACCAGAAAACAAAACAAAAACACAGAAGGAGAAGTTCAGCTCAGCAGCAGATCGCAGGTCTTGAGCCAGAAAGCCGAGAGAGAAGGAAACCTTAAGGCTCTAAGTTCAAGCTCTAGTACCAACATAAAAAAAAGAGGGGAGGGGGAGGGATGAATGCCAGCATTAGCTGCAAAGGATTATTTTAATAGAAAACAATATGAAAACAGCTTGCAATGTAGCTGTTAAAACTGAAGAATTTTTTAATGACAGCTGAGAAACTGCAAGAGCTTTCATTTCCAACTGTAGAAAGGTACCAGTCACCTTAATTTGCTGGACTCCTAGCTGAAATGAATTTACTGATGAAGCTAATCAAAAAATGAATAATTTAAATAAAAATGTGTTTTAAAGGGAGCAATTCTGGAAAAGCCAAAATATAAAGTTATGAAGGCCAAATAAAAGGACAGCTAGACTGTTATTTGTCAAATGAAAGCAACCAGTGCTCATGGCCAGCAGCTCCTAGGTGGCTGGGGGCAGGTGACCCAGGCATTGTTGAGGTGGTGGGGTAGGGGGAAAAGGGCAGGAGCACAGTGAGACCTCACGTAGCATTCAACAGACAAGCTACATTTCTTACTGTTTTCCACACACTGAGAATATATGTAAGTCGTTTATTAAACACATTTCTATGTTTAAAGAAGGGAACATGGCAAACTATAGCAACTCATCTATTCTGTTCACAAGTACACAGAACCAAAATCAGGACATCTGAAACAATGAAGTCTCAACAAAAGGAAAAAATGCTCAATTTTCTTTTCTGTTGATAATTTTGAAATAATTTATTAGCTGATGAGCCATTCAATAGATTAGCAGCCTATTAGGTGGGGGTCTGGGGGTTAAGAGTCACCCCCAGAGGCCAGATAGCCAAGTATGAAGGGATAAACTGCCCACCTAGGCTCAGTACCTGTGGCAAGTAGGTACGTTATGAGCTTTTTCAGGAAGCTAAGGTGTTAGTGGCAGACTGCTTACTTCCTTCACATGCTGTAGAGAGAAGAGGCAGAGGATGTGCAGCAGATCTCCAATAATGTGGAGAGTCTAATCACACAGCTGCTTTGGGCATCCACTCAGGGACATGGGATAAGCACACAATTTTAAATGTTCTCATAGGGGACAACATATAGATATAGATATGCACAGTCCTTGGCACCCAGTTCCTTAATCAAAGGTTACTGAATCTACTCTGAAAATGCAATATTTAATACATAATATTCCTAATGGGTACAGTTAGGAAAATATATTCTACTCTTCAAAGAAAAAGTAGAGCCACTGGTGGCTCATGCCTGTAATCCTAGCTACTCAGGAGGATGAAATCTGAGAATTATGAAATTGTATGCTATTAAGATGCTAAAGGTGATTTTGATTAATGCATGCATAATGGGTAAAAAGCAGAAAAATGTCTAAATAAATGAAAAAAAGGAAAAAATGTCTAAATAAATCTGTACAAATTAATATATGGGACCTTAGCAAGGAGAAGTATAAAAATTACTTGGCAGCCTTTCTATTTAAATTAATCTTTCTTTATTCAGAAGGAACTAGAATTTTGAATTTTCACCTTTATGTTTGGTCCTCTTTGCTTTCCTAAAAACAAATACTAACCATTTAACAAACTCAAAATAATCTAGTGATGTTGAATCTGGGACAGTTTAAGATCTATGCTTCTACAGAATCCTGAGTGTCTCATTAAGCACGCTTACAGTGCTCCACAATGACAATAGAAACCTAAAAAGGCATGAGAAGCTCCCTACTTATTAACTGTGCATTTCAAACATTGAGTACATGTTTTCATTCCCTGTGGTCCTGTGAGACTACATGTAGACTACATGCAGCAAAAGTATACCATGTAGTTTGAACCTCAGAGGAAGGAGTGAAGATAGGACTATCAAAGCAAAGTCAGGATGGTCTAATTTACGAAGCTTGCTTAGTCAATGACCTGGACATTGATTGTGAAACGTTTGCTGCAAAGCCCAGCAAGCTGCAAAAAGTACATCATCTTAACAATCGCCCATTCTTCCTAATGGCAAACATTAAAACATGACATTTTCACCACAGGGTAGTAAACAACAAAACAACAAAAACCAGCTTTCCCTGTACTAAGTTCCAATCCAAATGGCTTCCGTACAATTACTGTAAATCATCTGCAGTAGCTGAATTGGTTGGGTAAAGTTGGACTTGGCACTGGCTGCTTCAAAAAGCACAGAAACTATGCTTTAAAAAGAATCTTCAAAAAATAAAACTAAAAACCCACAACATCTGCATCCTAAACGCTGGGGGTGAGGAGTACACAACGTGGCAGATTCATGGTTGTGTGTACATGATGGCATCGCTTCTCATAGAGGAGGCAGAGGAGTTCCCTTGGCTGTGATTGTGGCTCCAGTTATTTCGTCGCTGGGTTCTTGGGAGGAAGGAGTTTGTATGTGTTGAAGTAGCCCACCACCTGCTGGGGAATCTCCGCCAAGACACACTGAGCCAGGGCTTCTTTAGGAGCCTTTAAACAAACGAAACCAAAGTAGCTGTTAACAACTGATAATTACTGATTCTTTTAAGAAAAAGACTAGAATTACCTCACTAGCTATTAACAAGCTATACTTCCTAACTCCTAGCTTTGTATCTTAGGAACAAGGCACAAAGTACAGGCTAAGCTAAATAAACAATGCTACTTTTGATTGCTATTATTACCTGTGCAAATTATCTATAAAATCCTATTTTTGGTTCCAGACTTTTTAATGTTTGATAATTTGTTGCTGGTGTTCTTTAATTTTTAAATTTGTCTTTTATTTGTTTGGTGTTAAGTAATACCATCTATTTTGAAACAATTATAGGTTCATAGGAAGGTACAAAGATAATTGGGGTGCCATGGCTCTTCAATTAGTTTTCTTCAAAGGTACCATCATATATAGCTATAGCTATAGTGTAACATCAAACCAGAAAATTGACATTAGTCCAGACATTCATCAGGTTTATCTGTTTGTATGTGTGTCTATTCAATTATATCATTTTGGAGCAATCTTAATAACCACAGAATCAAGCCACAACTATCTCATAGTCATAAAAAGCTCCAATATTTCTACTTTATAATCACACAAGCCACTTGTACTCTCACAGCTAGTGGTAATATAAAATGGTATAGCTACTGAAAAAAACTGAGTTGATTTGTTATTTACATATGTAATTACTGTACTCGGGTATTTATACTAAAGGAATAAAATCTTATGTTCATATACAGGAAAAACCCTACACATGAATACTTGTAACATCTTTTTATATAATTGACCAACACTATAAACTAGTATGGTTCAATGGGTGAGCAGTTAAACTATCTCATGCAAAAGTACTCATCAATAAAAATGAATACATGCAAACAAGAGTCTTAAAATAGCTTCAGTATGATTACAAAGACAGCCTCATCTGAAGGTCATTTGGGAAGAGTAATATCCAGATTCTATTTATGTTTAGACTTTATGTGGTTTCTGTAAGTTCACATTATCAGATTAAATTTTATATAGCCTCATTAATAAGATTTCCACATGCTCTTTTCCATGTGAAAATACTCAGAGCTTTTAAAAGTTACTTTATAATATTACTAGAGTATTTATGAAATGAGCAATACATTTACTTATGAAAGCAAACTACGAAAGCTTTTTATACAACTGGTACAATGTGAAAAATGCAAAGCATTTAACCACAGATGATAATATCCTTTCATATAATGACTCTTAAAAAAAGACAATGCAAGTATATACATATAAAATAGCAATATAAGGAACAGGCTGGGTAACTCTCAGAAGAATTATTTTAAGTGATAAAAAGAGTCAATCTCAAAAGGTCATACACTGTGACTCTATGGCCAACAGATTAGTGGTTTCATGGTTAAGGAGGGCCAGACATGAAAAGGAAATGATGTGTCTGCAAGGAGCAAGGTCAGTGGCCTTACAGGAGAGAGAGCTAACCTGAGTTGTGATTCTGTGTAAGTTAAGATGTTGCCACTGAAACAAATTGGGTGAAACAGTCTTCTAAAAAATTTTCATCGAACTGCCTCTCACCCTGATAAACTCTAATTTTGTACAGAGGGATTTTATCTGTTGTTTCAAAGATAAAATATATGTAAGACATTCACAGCAATACCATATTAATAGTTTATCAGCTAAACTTCAAGATGTACCCAAAGCTAACAGTGACACAGCCAATTACAGCTCTCATATGAAAAAGGGGTCAAACTGCTCACACACCCATCCATCTCCTAACCGTATACACTGACTCAGCTGCTTGGGTATAGACTGGCAAAGGCCTGTGTTCAAATACTAAGATGTTTAAATAGAGTGGAGTGGTACTCACATTCTGGAATTGTCTGAAAGGTACAAATTGAACAATATCTCTGATGGCCACCTCGCCAGATGGGGAACGGAGACTTCCTCCATCACCATCCAGAAATTCCATGGCACTGAAGTCAGCTCCTCCAACTCCAACAATGATGATGGACATAGGCAGCTTGGCAGCATTAACTATAGCTTGTCTGGTTTCATCAAGGTCTGTGATCACACCATCAGTAATTATCAAGAGCACAAAATATTGCTGTCAAAAAAAAAGCAAGAAAAGTGTATCCACTGAGCAGGTTGAGGTCTCGGAGAGTATGATTAATCATGATCTCTCATTCGTACTTCTTTCCTTACCGTGTGTGTGTGTGTGCGTGTGTGTGTGTGTGTGTGTGTGTGTGTGAAAATACTGTACAGAGGGGTTACAATTACATGAGCAAGATAATGAGTACATTTCTTATCAAGCATTGTTGCCTCCTCCTTTGTTTCCCCTTTCCTGCCCACGCACCCCCCCCCCACCTCCTGCACCAAAGTTGCAAAGTTCATTTTTCAACATAACGTCTTGTACATCTCATTGTTGTAATGGGTCCACCTGTATCCCTATTTAAACGATTTGTTTTTCCCTTCCCCTCCAAAAAGTATACCAACATCAAATACAGTGAAAACAGGGGTTATACCGTGAGGGAGGGACATACAAAGCAACAAAGAAATCATCTTATAAATATGTTAGAAACAGTAGCAAGAAAGAAAAACCATTTGAATCTTTATCTTGGGGTTCATTTCCCCTAACATCAACTTATCTGACTGTTTCTGCTTGTCTCAGACATATACTACTTATTGCAAATAAGGGAAACCATAGGACCTATGTTTCTTTGGGCCTGGCTTACTTCACTTAATATAATTTTTTCCAAGTCTTTACTCAGGTTACCATCTGCATAAAATATCCTATGATTCTCCAATGACAAGAAAATTCTATGACGACTCATATAGAAATCAAAGGTTCATTAAAAGTGCAGCATGCCACAAAGTAACATTGGTAAAATACACAGAAGCAATGCATCTAAAATGTCAAAGATAAATCCTTCCAAGGCACAGGAATAAACACCCTCATTTAATTGAAACATTAGATACATCAAAGTATAGATGGAAAGAGAAAGTTGCAATTCCATTCACAAAAGTCCAAACTAAAACACAGTTTAAAAAACCTGACATTGCCAGGCACTGGTGTCTCATGCCTAAAATTCTAGCTACTGATGAGGATGAGATTTGAGGATCAAGGTTCAAAGACAGCCCAGGAAGAAAAATCCATGAGGCTCTTATTTCCAATTAGCCACCAAAAAGCCAGAAGTAGAGCTATGGCTCAAATGGCAGAGTGCCACCATTGAGCAAAACAGCTGATGGAAAAAAAAATCTAGGCACTGAGTTCAAGCCCTGGTAATCACACAAAAATTAATTAAAATCCAACATTTACTAGTTTAGACAGATAGTAAATCTTTCTGAATTTTTTCATCTCTAACAAAATTTTTCAGAGTTGTAAAATGTTACATACAGTTGTGACCGTATGGGGCCACTACATCTAGACTAGGAATAAGATTTCTAATAGTACTTAGCATGTACTATTTCCTGTGATGCAGGCACAGTACACTATCAATGAATTATTTATTCATTTCTTTTAACAATTCCAGAAGGGAGCTTTCACCCAACGCTACCTTTACTTCTGAATATATTGAAACTAGGAAAGATTTATTATTTAAGGCCCAATTGGTAATAGTGCATTCAAACTTCTTTAGTACAGTCACCAATCTTACCCAGGTGAATGGTATTGTCTCCTTCAGCTTTAATCCATGACATCTACTTCAAAAAAGTGAATGGTAGTCTTTGTGGTGGGGAGAGGGGAGTAATGCTCTAAGAAAATTATTTCAAAACTGAGAATGACTCATGAACATAAGCACTGTTTTGTTTTGATTGAAAACACATACTGCTTCTAAACCAATGACAACTATTTCATTACTTCTTTGTTCTTGACTTTGTTCCCAACAGACCAAATGAATAGAATCATGGTAAGAGGATCAAGAAACATCCACATCTTTCACAGCCTGTGGCCACAGAGCACTTACAGAAGCTGTCTGTTGCTGTGTCGCTGCAGCTGCAAACCTTGCCACGTGGTTTATGATTGGAGAAAAGTTAGTTGGTCCATAGAGTTTGATCTGAGGAAGGCAGGCCCGGTATGCCTCTATAATGCCTTGGATTCCTAGACACCACCCCCCCCCCCAAAAAAAAAATCAGTATTAAAAATCTTCAAGCACAATATGTTCATTTGTAATACTTGATAATAGTTAAGTGTCAACACACAGTACTTTAAGTGGTCAAAAGTTCCATATCAATAGTTCCTTTAAAACTTACTATAAAACCTCATAGCTAGATTTCATTGAAAAATCTACAAACTCTGCCCTCTCATGGTAGAAGGCATGTGCTCTTATCTCTGTCAAATTATTCATTAATCTACTGCTTTGTTACATTTTGCTTAATTTTGATGTGACTCCTGATATGACTTTTGTTAGAAGAGAAAATAACTGTAAGAAAGTTGCTGCATATCGCAGATGGTAGCAGTAAAGAACAATTACTGAGGGGCTGGGAAGGTGGCTCAGTGGAAGAGCACTTGCCTTGCATGCATGAGGCCCTGGGTTCGATTCCTCAGAGCTGAGGTACAGCGCCCAGGCCCAGAGTTCAGGCCCCCCCCCACCCAAAAAAAGAACAATTACTGACAGGATGAAAAAAGATTTGTGTATTTGGCCAAATTTTCTCCTAAAATATGCATATAAAGGAAGTATTAATTCTAGTTAATTTGCCAGGCACTAGTGGTTCATGCCTATAATCCTGGCTACTCAGGAGACTGAAATCTGAAGATCGTGGTTTGAAGTCAGCCCAGGTAGGGAAGTATGTGAGACTCAAGCACCAAGAAAATTGGAAACTGAGCTGTGGTTCAAGTGGTAGCATGCTAGCCTTTAGAAAAAAGAAAAAAAAATCTCAAGAACAGTGGTGGGGGGTGGGGGTAGGATCGGGTGGGGGGAGGGGGGGAGTATGGGAAGGGATGGGAAGAGGAAACAAAGAGGAGGCAACAATGCTTGATAAGAAATATACTCATTATCTTGCCCATGTAATTGTAACTCCTCTGTACGGTATTTTCACAATAAAAAAAGAAAAGAAAAGAAAAAAAAAAAAAAGAACAGTGCCCAGGCCCTGAGTTCAAGCCCCAAAACCAGACCATACACACACACACACACACACACACACACACAATCTAGCTAATTAAGTGATGCAAATGTTTACTTGATAATGTAAAGATTAGGCATGTACTGTATTTATTCTAAATAGTCACTTTCGGGTTACAAAAAAAAAGTGTGCATTTTGCTGTAAAAACATTAACGAGTTTCCATTCTGCTCCAGTGAAAGGTAACATGAAGTTGAGCCAAAACAGGAAGTTGAGCCCAGATATTTGACTAGCTATGTCTTTGATGACTAATAAGATGCTATAGCCGGGCGCTGGTGGCTCATGCCTGTAATCCTAGCTACTCAGGAGGCTGAGATCTTAGGATCGCAGTTCAAAGCCACCTGGGCAGGAAAGTCCGTGAAACTGTTATCTCCAATAAACCACCAGAAAACTGGAAGTGGTTCTGTAGCTCAAATGGTAGAGCGCTAAGCCTTGAGCTGAAGAGCTGAGAGACAGCGCTCAGGCCCAGAGTTCAAGCCCTATGACTGACCCCCAAAAAAGAAAAAGAACTACCACCTAGTTCTTTTTCTCTGCCTGACTTCCAAAACAAGAAACATCAAGAGCTGAAGTGGCATATCTATAATCTGAGCACTTAGGAGTCTGAGGCCAGCCTTAACTGCGTAGTAAGACCTTATCTCAACAAAACAAAACAAAGAAACATGGAGCAGAGTTACAATCTAGCCACAAGTCAAGTGAGCAAGAAATAAACTGTTGTCACTGTAAGACACTGAGATTTAGAGAATTTTTTATTTTATTTTATTACAACAGCAGAGCCTAGTGCTGTGACATTTGACTGACATTCTGGGAAAACAGACTGCTGATGAAACACATATCCTATATAGGCATGTTAAATATGCCTATAATAACAGAGACTATAAGATGCAAGTAGAATAATAACATACTCAGAATTCCTTATAATACTTTTTGAGATCATCACAGAAAAATTCTTAATGCAAACCAGAACACGTCTCCTGCTTCAAAAATGTCCAACAGACTGTAGACTAACAAGGACCATATATCTGGTTTAAAAGCCTGTTTCACAAGATCAATTCTCTCTTCTTAAAATTTAAGAATTCCAATAAACTCCTCTTGTTCATGTTGAACTTAGAAGAAACAACTTGACTTATGAATGACCTTGACTAGAGTTAATCTAGCAGTAATAAACACAGTAACATTAACAAAGACTAGAAACAAGTTCTCTCACTACAATGAAATACACTTTAGAAAAAAATGGAGCCAATAACAATATTTCCCTCCATCTCTATCCTCTCTGCTTACTTTTAAACATGAAAGCATAAACAACTATCAATAGCCTTCCCTTCAATTCCGCAGCTAAAACTGAATCATCCTAAAAGCTTTCCTGTATATTACTAAATAGCCTGCATTTTCTAGGCAACTAAACTCCAACATTAACAAAGGGAATTTGGCTTCCTTGCCTTAAAATAAAGCTGCATTTTTTCTATACATAATTCCTTTTAATTTAAACTATTTTTTCCAGACTGTACATCAAAATTTAAAAAGTTGTGTTTGGTAAATAGCCTAAAGAGAAGCTAATTGCTTACACAGTAAATGAACTAAAATGAATTGTCACATGAGGTAAGCTACCCATACTGACAATATAATTTCAATTGTGCCACAAGAAAGAAACCTATTTCTTAAAAAGAATGTTTCTGCAATTTCAAACAGGGATAAAAGGGGTCATAATTGGCCACTGAAAATACATCAAAAGAACAAAGAAATTAGTGTGGAGATGTATCCTGGAACAAAGTAGAAAACTTTTGTACCAATTTCCTCAATATTAATGAACACTATTTAGGAAGAAAAGGAAAGGATCTTTCTATCAACATATTTATTAAAAGTTATTAAAAGGGGGTTGGGAAGGTGGCTCAGTAGTAGAGTGATTGCCTTACATGCATGAGGCTCTGGGTTCAATTCCTCAGTACCACATAAGCAGAAAAAGCCAGAAGTGGTGCTGTGGCTCAAGTGGTAGAGCACTAGCCTTGAACTGAAGAACTGAGGGAAAGCGCCTAGGCTCAGAGTTCAGGCCCCACGACCAAAAAAAAAAAAAGTTATTAAAAGGACCCTTTGCAAAAAAATTAGCATATTCTCTAGAATTTTAAATGATGCCTCTAATACCACACCTATCTCTCCTCTAAATGGAAGAAGAAAAGGAGGAGGAGGAAGAAGAGGAGGGGGAGGGGGTGAGGAAGAAGAATTCAGTAGAAGACTTGGCGTTATAGGTTGACTGTGGTTAAAAAAACAAACAGGAATATTTATATTTGAAGTAGAAAGTAAAAAGGGAAACAAAGACAAAAACCTGCCTCCTGTTCCCCACACAGAAGAAATATACTACAGTAGTTCAATTCTTTGTTCCTTTAACTCCTCTCTCCATTTACAGAGTATTATGTGAACAGGTAATAATTAAAGATTGGACTCTATCCACTTGTCTGAAAAGGTTTCCTCAGGTCTGCAAAACTGAATTGCTTTTTTTTTTTTTGGTTGGTTATGGGGCTTGAACTCAGGGCCTGGGCACTGTCCAGTCTAAGCTTCTGTGCTCAAGGTTAGCACTCTATCACTTTGAGCTACCAATTCCACTTCTGATTTTCTGGTAGGAAATTGGAGATAAAATCATGATTTCCTGTTGGGGCTAGCTTTGAACCTTGACCTTCAGACCTCAGTCTTCTTATTAGCTAGGACTGCAGGTGTGAGCCAACAAGGTCTGACCTAAATTGTTCCTTTTGTTAAAAGTATATTTTACAAACTATATACATATTTATGAGAATATTTTTTATTTTATTTTTTTTGGGGGGGGGGGGGAATCCAGTCTTGAGGCCTGAACTCTGGGCCTGGGCACTGTCCCTCAGCTCTTCAGCTCAAGGCTAGCACTCTACCACTTGAGCCAGAGCACCACTTCTGGCTTTTTTTCTTTTTGCTTATGTGGTGTTGAGGAATCGAACCCAGGGCCTCATGCATGCAAGGCAAGCGCTTTACCACAGAGCCACCTTCCCAGCCCTATATGAGAATATTTTTATGTATGGTTTTTGTTGATCTTAACATTCTTATTGTTTTTGTACTGTTAAACCCTATAAAGTAGAATAACATAGCATAAATTATGACCTTCACCATCGTATTACTGATCGACTCTATATTATTACCACACTAACACCAACCTTGCACAGTTTTTATACTTTATACAACAGAAAGTTAAATGTATCCTGAAACATAAATCAAACCTAGAATTGGAATTTCTTAAACTGCAAGCAAAACAGAGACTACAGAGGCGCTCAATTAAAAAAATTCATGTTTATTTTTTCAACTTACCATTACAGTAGGGATTGGCTGGATTAAAGTTTATTGGAAATTCATGGGATACCTGTCCAAAGACAAAAGACTGATGAGGCCTGGTTTGCTTTTCTCAGAAGAAATGCTTTTAAGTGAGATTTCTTCTTACCTGCCACTGAGGAGGTATCTGAGCTCCAAAACCAAAAGCTGGAAACATTTTATCACTAAAAAGCAAATTAAAAAAAAAAAACACTGAAATACTGTTTTTTCAAAAGAGCCTTTATATTTACTTGCAATGAAATCAATATAAGTTCCTTCTTAAAAAAATATTTTGATGTCTTAGAAAAGTAAAAAGATAAAACATACTTCTGTTGAACAACCTTTTCTTTTCTCTTTAAATCTTGTGCATTATCTCAATAAACAAATGTGTAAAAAAAAAACACAATCATAAAGCCCGGAAGTTTTTTGTTAATTTGTAGCAAACTCATTTGAACACAGGGTATGTTATGTTCATGCGCTACTCTTAGCTGTGTGCCCAGCTCCAAATCTACTCGAAATGTAGCCATCACAAATCTATTCAGAAAATTCTAGCTATGCAATTAAGTTACCCAATGTTGAAAGTCACAATTTAAAAATACTAATTCAGTGATTGCTAAGGAAATAGATATGCTAAGAAAAAGGATTGTAAAAAAATTATATTAAGTGAAGTAAGCCAGGCCCAAAAGAAACATAGGTCCCATGGTTTCTCTTATTTACAATAATGAGTACATGTGTAGGACAAGCAAAAAAGGCCAAAAGCTATGTACATATGACTATATAAGATGATGTTAAGTGAAATGAACCCCAAGATAGGGACACAAATATCTTTTTTCTTTTGCTATTGTTTCTAACATATTTATAATGTACCATGTGATTTTGTTGCTGCTTTGTATGTTCCTCCCCCACAGTACAACCCCTATTTCACTGTATTTGATGTAGGTGCCCTGCATCTTGTATATACACTTCTCTAATTCAGGGAGGGGAAGGGAAAAAACAAAATGTTTATATAAGGATACAGGTTGACCCATTGTAACAACGAGATGTACAAAACACTATGTTGAAAATGAACTTTACAACTTTGTGGAGGAGGTAGGAGGGAACGGATGGTAGGGGGGCAAAGAAAGAGGCAACAATGCTCAATAGGAAATGTACTCATTACCTTGCTCATGTAACTGTAACCGCTCTGTACAGCATTTTTACAATAAAAAAAAGTACAAAAAAAAAGAAAAAGGCTTCACTACTGCTTACAAAGATGTCATCTGTATCACAATCACATCCACAACTTATTCCTAATGACTAAACCTAAAGGAAACAGATCCAAGGAACAAGAAGAATCCGTTGACTTCATTCAGCTAGTAAATAAGCAAGCTAGATATAGCACATTATAGTTATCACAGCAAGAAATGAGAGATCAGAGGTAAACATTAAAACTGTCATAAAGGGGCTGGGCACTGGTGGCTCACGCCTGTAATACTAGCTACTCAGGAGGCTGAGATCTGATGATCACAGTTCCAAGCCAGCCTGGGCAGAAAATACTTTGCGACTCACCTCTAAAAAGCTGAAAGTAGAGCTGTGGCTCAAGTGGTAGAGAACTATCCTTGAGGGATATAAAAAGCATAACAACAGTACCCAGGCCTTGCACAAAAAATAACAAATAAAAAAACACTGTTATGAAGAGAAAAAAAAAAAAAACTGACCAAAAAAAAATAGCACCTTCGGGCTGGGAAGGTGGCTCAGTGGTAGAGCGCTTGCCTTGCATGCATGAGGCCCTAGGTTCGATTCCTCAGCACCACATGAGCAAAAAGAAAAAAGCCGGAAGTGGCGCTGTGGCTCAAGTGGTAGAGCACTAGCCTTGAGCTGAAGAGCTGAGGGACTGCGCCCAGGCCCAGAGTTTAGGCCCCATGACCGGACCCAAAAAAGTAAAAAAATAAATAAATAAATAAACTTTAAAAAAAAATAGCACCTTCATCCTATACTACCTATATACAGCAATGGATAATGAACAGAAATAATCCCTCCTGGGGAATTACAGGAACAAGTATTGTAGCATTCTCAAAGTCATACTCACGCATCATAATCTTGAATGACCAATCCCACAGACCAGATTGCAGTCAAATACTCATTGACACCATTGGGGCTAATGTAGTGAAGGGAATCAGGAGACCTTGGGTCACCATTGGAGCCAGTGAAGTCTACTCCCACCTGTTAAACAGAGTGAACAGCCCTTACTAAGCAGAAGGCAGATATTCCTGTGCTTGGGATTCAAGAAACCTTCAAGAGACTGGATCCATTCATCCCAGAGCCTGATATTGACATTTCTTAACAAATGCCTATCAGTATTTCCATAGAAAATTAAACCATTAAAGCTTCAACATGAAATCATGTGCTGTTCTTATTTTTCTTGCTTCCCTAAGTCCCTAAATTCCTAATACAGGGATTATGTATAATCCCTACATCTGTAATTCATATGCATTTATATATGTAATTCAATCTCATGGATTGTGTTTTGTAAGTTTGTTTGATTAATAGCCCCTAGTCTTTAAATTACTGCAAGATAACGACTGGTATATATATATATATATATATATATATATATATATATATATATATATATATATATCTTCTTTCTCTTAGGGCAAAGATATTCTCATCAACAAAGTCAAAATTCCCATCATGAACCTGGACAATCTATGAGGTCTGTGAGGAGAACAAATAATAGTGTAAATTCTATTACAAAGTCAATTTGACGTTATAAAAACACTTAGTTAAAAAAATACTGCAAGGGCTGGGAAGGTAGCTCAGTGGTAGAGTGCTTGCCTTGCATGCATGAGGCCCTGGGTTCGATTCCTCAGCACCACATAAGCAAAAAAAGCCAGAAGTGGCACTGTGGTTCAAGTGGTAGAGCGCTAGCCTTGAGCTGAAGAGCTGAGGGACAGCACCCAAGCCCAGAGTTCAGGCCCCAAGACTGGCAAAAAAAAAAAAAAAATACTGCAAAATAGAGGGGAAAAGTCTATGTCAGAAAATTCAGTGTTACTTACAGTAAAATTCAGCTGACATCCTCCCATGATGTAGTCAAGGAATGTGCATTCTACTGTTATCTAAAGACAAACAGCAGGCTGTTAAAACTGAAGCTGGCCTACTACATAAGAGACACAAAAGCCTCCATGGCACAGGGTTTTCAAAGTCTGTACATTGAGCAACATGATATAAACTTGTGGAAATCACCCCAGGATTTGAGAATAAGGAACTCCTGTCCCTAAATGCCCCAAATCTGTTCGCTCTTACTTCGGGATAATTATGACAATGTTAAGATTACAAACAATGTTAATGGGAAAAAATGAAATGTATTCACTCTTTTTTTTTTTCCTTTGGCCAGTCCTTAGACTTGAACTCAGGGCCAGGGCACTGTCCCTAAGCTTCTTTTGCTCAAGGCTAACATTCTACCACTTGAGCCACAGCATCACTTCTGGCTTTTTTCTGTTTATATGGTACTGAGGAATCAAACCCAAGATTTCAACCATGCTAGGCAAGTACTTTATTACTAAGCCACATTCCCAGCCTTCACGTTAAGTTTTAGAGTTAGGAATGATCTTAACATGCTATCTTGAAGTTTGAACAAACATGGTCATCAAGATCTACAAATAAATAAATAAACCATCCTGATTCTCATACCTCACATTCTTTTCAGCTACAGAAACTACTCAAATTGTACTTAAAGGTTTCTGGTTGATCTGTGATCATTATATTGGACTTTGTGGTATCCTATATTTCACAAGAAACATTCTTGGCAAACATTTTTCTTACCTTGTCCTACTAGTATATACTTGTGGTTGAATGCTTATTGAAACTGCATTTTTTTTTTTTGGCCTGTCCTGAGGCTGGGGATATCGCAGAGCTTTTTTTAAAATTTTTTTTTATTTTTTAAAAAATAAAATTTGGGGGGAAAATATTGTACAGAGGGGTTACAATTACACGAGCAAGGTAATGAGTACATTTCTTATCAAGCATTGTTGCCTCCTCCTTTGTTTTTCCCCTACCATCCCTTCCCTCCCATCTCCACAACTACACCCCCCCCCCCCAACAAATTGCAAAGTTCCTTTTTCAACATGGTATCTTATATATCTCATTGTTGCAATGAGTCAACCTGTATCCCTATTTAAACAATGTTTTTTCCCTTCCCCTCCCCAAATTATACCAACATCAAATACAGTGAAAACAGGGGTTATACCGTGGGGGAGGGACATAACAAAGCAACAAAAAAATCACATGGTACCTTATAGATACGTAAGAATCAATAGCAACAAAGAAAAAACCACTTGTGTCCTTATCTTGGGGTTCATCCAGAGCTTTTTTTGCTCAAGGTTAGCACTCTACCATTTGAGCCACAGTCCACTTTTGGTAGTTTATTGGAAATAAGAGCCCTGAGGACTGCTTGGACAGGCTTAGAACCAAAACCCTCAGATCTCAGCTTCCTGAGTAACTAGGATTACAGGCATGAGCCACTGGTACTAAAACTACATTCTTTTAGAACGACGAGATAACAACTATTTCCTAGCCTGAATTCCTTTTTTACTATAAAAAATACTTATAAAATTTTAGTAAGAATTCATAAATAAATAAAACAATGTTTTAAAAAATATTTTTTCACTGAAAGTTGGTCATTCTCCTTTCATTTATAACATTTCATCATGAAATTATAGTCAAAACAGATGAACTAGGTCAGGCAATTTCCACTTATAGGTTGGAAAAATACCAAGATTCTACACTGCTAAGGTAATGGAAAGTTTTAATATTTCTTGTCTGTTGTGTAGGAAGCAAAATTTCTTGAAAGATTTCATTATTCCTTACTCCATACTGTTTCTTTGGGTGACCAGATTATCCAGTGATTTTCAGTTGACTAATTTTCAGTTGCACTTATCTGAAACAAATCAACTTGCAGGAGAACTCAAAATACAACCTGGTTATAAATGACGAAAGCCAACCGACCTCACAGAGTTTCACACTGATAACACCTGAATTCTTATAGCTTTTTTTCTTTTGTCTCTTCTTTTCATTTATGCATTCATATTCAATCTGTAAGAAGAGAAGAAAAAATGTTAATTTTTTCACTATCAATATTCTAAATGCCAACGTAAATTTAAATGAACCACCATTTCCTCTTGGAATCAAACCACTTGTGGCAGAGGTCTGTTGCAACATGCAACTCTGAACTACATAATGCATTAAGACAATGAAATCATTATTGATCAAATTTCCAACAATTAAGGTACTCCTAATAATTGCAAACTGTTTTAAATAGTTTATGAGCATGAAATTTACCTATATTGGTAACTAATTTCTTTGCAAATATTCCAAATGATAACTTTTCTTCCCTATAATCGAGAAAGAAAATGCTACTCCTGGATGTTAACTACACAAAACAAAAACACATTTTGCTTAAAAATAAGCTATCATCACAAATCAGACATATGAAGCCCAACACTATGATAAACCCTATGGCAAAGATCATCTCTTTTCACAGGGAATACGGTTAAAAAATGAATCTAATTTACAGACCACCCCTCACCATCAAAATAATCTTTTCTCCATCTCCAAACCACCATCCTTCTTTAATACTTGACTCTAGTCACCTACTATATCTGCCACTACTGTTATAATGACTGATCTCTATCCATCTACAACTATAGAAAATTCAGGTAATACACTCTGTTCTCAATTGTTTCTGTTCAGTAATTTTTTTTTTTTTTACTTTCACAGGTAAGGTTATAATCACCTCCAACTTAAACCTTTGAATTCTCACCATCTTGCCTATTAAGAACATTGAGGGATACTTAATCAATACCCTATCATTACTTTTAGCTAATTGGAAGCTTCTTAGGTACACCATTAACAGCCATTCCTAATTTTCTAAGAATCAACATTAGGAAATATATTTGACATAATAATGTTAATTGAAATTACATTAAAGGAATTCCTCAATGGTTCAGAACATGGACAGACATATCATAAACATTATATCCTAAACAGAATCTCATTAAAAAACATCTAAATTATTTTACTCTTTTCACTCATCCTTTTGCAATGTGTCTACCAAAAGGCATTGTGCTATATCATTTTTGATAACACAAATATCTGAAAAAATAGCCTTGTCTGGGGTATTATGGAAGTAATGTTAAAAGTTTCACTCTAGGTTTGGTGGCACATGCCTATAATCCCAGCACTTGGAACAGAGATGCAAGACTCCAGGTTCAAGGCCAGCCTGGGCTAAAGAGCAAGACCGAAAGGTTTCAGAAGCACCCTCATAAATAAGTTGGAATGTTACATAATAAATTCAATGTGGTTAATACTGCCAAATGGTCTTATAAAAATTATGCCACTAGATTGTAGCTTATTATTATATAATTTAAAGGACAATGAACTAAGCTCCTGCCTTTCTTGTGGTTAAAGTCAGAAAGAAGACTATAAATGCCTGTGAAAGAATCACATAAGGTACATAATAAAAGCCTAGGCATTTGTCTGGCAGTATAGATATTAATTATTGCAACCAAGGAAATGTCTAAAGCCTTTAAAACTACAGATTTGAACTAAAATCATATATGCGATCTTAAACTAAAAGAAACCCAACCTCTGATACAAATATATTTGGCATGCATAGTTTATGACAGCTGCTTAGCCACACAGGATGGGTCTCAGAACTTCTTTCCAAGAGATGAGTATGAACTACTTGTCTGCATGGAAACAGCTTGCCACTTTCAGACTCAAGAGTACTGCTTGCTCTCCTTAGGCCTAGAGTCAACTTGCCCTCAACCTCACTTCCAGCATTCAACAGTTCAGACTCTACAGCTAGGGGCTTCTACTGAAGTAAACAGGTGAAGCTTATGTTGCCAGAAGGAAGCTGCTGGCCATGATTGATGAGACCTATTACTATAGCTCATGTTGCTCTTTCTTCTCCATGTGAGTTAAGTGGTGTTCCATTCATTGCTTCACTGTGTTATTAGGTTTTCTCTTCTAAGACACAGGGGCAAAAGTCACTTCCATTCGCAGTGAGTGAAACTGTAATGATCTTTGCCTTCCTCCAAGTTGGTGGAGGTCCTCCACCAGGGGGGACCATTACATGGTGTTCCGTGAAACCAGAAACACACCCCAAGTATGAACTCTAGATTAGCTAGTTACCACGCAAATAAAACCCATCAATTTGTGAAAATTATGCAATATAAAAAATACCGTGAACTATTTCTATACCAAAAGAAAAAATTAATACCAAACACAGCTAGACTATATAGTACATGCAAAGATAAAACTTACAGGTGAATTCCTGGAAGCTTCTTTCAGTTTTGTCATGGTAGTTTGAAATGTTCCAATAAGATCATGTGATCCATCATTGTCATAATCATAACACTCTACCTGGAATTGTATGATAAAAAGTATGTAAATCAATAGAATCTTATTAACAAGTATCTAAGTATTAGGTACTTGTTAATAAGAAATGCCTTTGTAAATAAACCAAGTGAAAATGTTTAGTATGAAACCCTACTTGCACAAGTAGGAATTAACTCTAGAGAAGTTATGTTAAAATCCTTTAAACCCCAACTGTCCTTAAACTCCCAGATAAATCAGAGGCAAGGAAACTCTGCATTTAATGTTTCCAGCTCCTCTGGCATGGCCTTTACAAGTTCTGGTAAAAGACAAAAAACACTCATTTTCCCAACTGTTTCTTCACTGTTTTATCATCAGTATCACTCACTATATGGCTATAGATCATAATCTGGAGAAAGGCAGGCAATGTCCTAGGCAGCTAAAAAAATTATAATGAAATCCTAAATCTATGAAAATTTAAAATGATGGAAAATGTATTTCATTGCCCGCACTTTGTATCAGAGGTTAGATATGAAGTCAGATTTTCATCATTCTGAAGATCAGAACTCTTATATAAATGGAAAATTCTAGGAAAAAGATATTTAGACCACTGAGGAAGTCTTCACTACATCTTCCTTTTCCTACTCCTTTTCCTTTGCCATGAAAGACACAATGAGCTGCAAAATAAGATCTGGATTAAGAGCTCTAGATTGAGTTTCTCTCTCTCTCTCTCTTTCTCTGCCCTCCCTCCTTCCCTCTTGCAAACAGACAAGATTGTTTTATTTGCTTTAGTTTTGTATGAGGTTGACTAATGAAATGTAAACTAAAGTAAAAAGTAAGTAAATATCTTTCCAAATACTAAACTTCTTTCCAAAGGGAAGAAATTAATGGGAAAAAAATAAAATCATGACTATTAGCAAACTGAGGTGTTCAAAGGAATCTAAACACTGACCATAATGGTTGTAAATATTCAGCAACAACGTTTTTATACTACTTCATGATCTTGAAACAGATTATTTCATTTCTGTTAAGTGGCATTGGGCAATAAGAGTGTTGTGAGCTACAGTGGAATCCTTCTATTCTTTTTTTTTTTTTAGAACTAAAACTTGGAGAATTTGAACAGAAAGTCTTTAATTGGTGGTATGCTTTGTGTGGTAACCAATATGGGTACAGTAAGGTTATGCTAAGGCTACTTTTGAGAGCTTCTGGAGCTTCTTTCAAAATAAAAGTTTATTAAAGGAATTTACATTAATGCTGGCCAATACACAGCTCCACCACACCCCTTTCGGTGGTTCTATTAATCCTCAACTTAATAGTCAAAATGTTATATGTTCACTTGGCAGAGTGATAGTTTTTCTGCTCAGACCTAAACAATGACAGCTACAAAACTGGAAACCTTTCATGCCTTACTTGATTTTCATTCCTCTTTGGAAACAGTAAAAGTCTATCAAATGAAAAAAGCAGGCAATTGTGAGAAACAGTACAAGATTTTGTTAAGAAAAGCTTCATAGGCACTTTGGTAACTGTTCTAATCTGACATTCTCACTCTTGTCATATACATCTTCAATATCCAGTTTAAAGCTACATCCCTTTATCTGACTTTTTATTGTATCAAGAGAAAAGAAAAGTAATAGTTTTAATGTTTTTTTTTCTAGAGGACATAAAGTACTGATAAAATAGAACACAAACTATCTTAATATTTTAGCAAGATCAATTCAGCAGACATGTTTTATTATACACAATGAAATGTTACATTTTAGATTTCATTCAGGGAACAACAATATATATTTAAGCAAGATTAATCTTTCATAAAGCCTAGATTTTATTTAAACAAATCTCATCAAGAAGTATGTTTGACTGAAGTTTCAAGAAGTATAAAATATATTTTTACTCTAAAAGTTTGCACTACTCTCTACACAAAAAAAAAAAAACACACACACACACAAGAAAGTCTCCCTGAAGATGGACATAAGATTTTTCTGTGTGCCAGTCCTGGGGCTTGAACTCAGGGCCTGGGCACTATTCCTGAGCTTTCTCACTAAAGGTTATCACTCTACCACTTGAGCCAAGGTCTGCCTCTAGCCTTTTGGAAGTTAATTGAAGATAAGACTCTCATGGACTTCCCTGCCCAGGCTGGCTTTGATTTGCAATTCTCAAATCTCAATCTCCTAAGTACCTAGGATTACAGGTAATAGGCATGAGCCACCAATGCCTGGTTAGATGTAACATTTTAAATGCCAGCCTATGTTCAAATAAAGTTTGAGGCAAGATGGTTTATGTCATTTAATTTCTCTCTTCTCAAGAATTCAAGAGCTAAGTACTATTGATTATTAAGCACAGGTATCAGAAGAACTTATGAAATTTAAATATATGCTTGGTATACATTTATGCATATGTATGTATGTATAAGAACACACCCCCACACAATGCATTCCCATTGTAGCATGGTGATAGCATGCATGATTATTTCTCTTATGTACTCAGTCATATTATGGAAATAATACATGCTTGAGTGATGACACATTACAGCACAGAAAGTACTGAGGATTCTGACTTTATCTCTGCTCTGTAATTCTTCACTGCTTCTCTAAGTCATTTCTGACATTCACTAAACCACAAACATATGACTACCTGATGTTGCAAAGAAATGCAGAACTAGAGAAATAAAGTCAGTGACAAAAAGGCAAAACAAATTGTGAATAATTAAAAAACAAACTGAGAAATTTTGAAGAATGGAACACATTCATCAAAACTAAGAAAGTCAATTTACTTACTACAATAAATTAGCTCTGTAAGCATATCACTGCAAGTAAAAAAGTTTTAGAAAGTTTTGTTGTTAGCATTATCAATTGTTAGCATTATCAATATAAACAATCAAATTATTACAGATCAGATCTAATGGTGCCCAATATTTTTAATGTGAAAAGCAAAAGTTCTGTAATTGATCTAATAATACAAATTATTATTATAGCTTCTTTTCTACAATTTACATTATTCCTAGATTTTCACTGCATTTGACTTACCTTACAAATCATACTTAACAATCACTTTTAAAGTTTAAGAAATTAAGTAGTTTTCAAAAATAACAGCATTCTCTACAGTGTCTTCCAATTTTCAAAATGTTCACTTTCATGATTTCACCTTTACTTTCTTGTATGGGAGAAGTTATTACCTCCATCATGTAAGTAAAGAAGTTAGGCTGATGTGCCCAGTATCCATTATCTTGTTAAAGAGCTTGAACTATGGTCTGACTTCAAATCCTGTTTCATAATCCTATTCTACTTTTAATATATTGATTACAATAAGAAAATTAAAAATGAGAAAAAAATCATGAATAAAAATCCTTGGACTACTGAGTTTTAAACATAAGAAAGTCTTCTACTTTGGATCATGGAACAATTATCTCTCTCTAGAACTTATTTCTTAAATATACCAATGCATTTGTTTCTAATGCCTATAAATACAAATAAAAACTGTTTAATTAAAAAAAAACTGGTAGGACAGCCAGGAGCTGGTGTCTCAGACCTGTAATCCTAGCTATGGAAGAGGCTGAAATCTGGAGAAATGTGGCTCAAGTCTATCCCCAGCAAAGGCTGTGAAACTCTGAGGAGTCCATGAGACTGTCTCCAAAGTAACGAAGTAGAGAAGTGCGGCACCAGCTGAGCAAGCAAGCAAATTGAGTAAGAGTGGGAGGCCTGACTTCAAACTGTGGTAACAGCACATGCAAAAGTTTTCTCCTTTTCGCCATTAGAGCAATGCCACCACTATTCTCCTCGCTTCCTATGTGTAGGAGGAACATCTGGGTTCTTAGGGTAACATTTGCTTTGAAATATGCAAGGGATACACTCAAGGAAAGGGCATAGTTTCCACTTACAAAGCAATGAAATCATAGTAAAAAGAAAAAATATTAATTTAGACATTTATTTCTAAAAATATTGAACAAAATAGAAATTATACTGATGAAACATGCCTTCTCCAAATAGACTACTGTACTAACTAGAACACATTTTTATTTCAGCAATAGCATATATACATAAAACTCAGTTCTGTAGGTATGTAATAAATAATTTACTTTTATTTTTGACTCTTTTATTTTTATTTATTTGGTCGAGTGTGTGGATTGAACTCTGAGCCTGGGTGCTGTCCCTCAGCTCTTCAGCGCAAGGCTAGCACTCTACCACTTGAGCGACAATGGCACTTCCAGATTTCTGAGTGGTTTATTGGAGATAAGAGTCTACAGACTTTCCTGCCTGGGCTGGCTTTAAACCATGATCCTCAGATCTCAGCCTCCAGAGTAGCTAGGATTATTGGCATGAGCCACCAGAGCCCGGTCTTTTGACTGTTTTAATTTGCACATATTAGTTGTACAAGGAGGGTTTCTTGTGATATTTCCACCTGTACACCATATACCTCAATCAATCTCACTAACTTTTTCACTCTCCCCTTTCCGCTCCACCTTATAAAAACATAATGCAAATAAATATATTGCCCATATTTATCATTACTCTCTTTTTCAGCCCTCTCCCTCCCTCTGGTACCGTGTGTGTTTCCTGAAAATTATATATATATAAATATATATTGCACCAAGGATTTCACTGTTGTATTTCAGATGCATATATATTTTTTTTCTCAGAATACGCTTCTCTATTGCTTTATTCAGCCTGCCTTCCCAATCCCCTATTAACCAACAATTCTCCATGAGGTTCCTTATGCCATCTTCAAACAAAGTTGCAGTCAATATTCAAATTCCATCTTTCTTTTTCTTTTGTTCATTCTTTCTTTCCTTTCCCCTTATCCTCTCACATAATACATTATAATAGTGTTCTATGCATATATGTATAAATTTATGTACACAGGTGTATATATATATATATATATATATACACATGTGCATGTCCATGAATTAATTTACCTTAAAAATATTAACTTGAATAAGATAATATATGTGTATTTACATATATATTTATTATATATGTCAGTCCCTAACCTAGGATGGTTGGACATAATACTTTTTGATTTTATGGTAGTGTGAAAGTGAGACCATCAGCAGAAACTGTACATTAAGTTTTGAATTTTGGTATCTTCCTGGGCTAATGATGGGTAATAAGATTCTCCTGCAGGCTCACTCCTGCAATCCTAGCTACTCAGAAGGCTAAGATTTGAAGATCTTGATTTTTACGGTATCCTGAGTAGAAAATTCTATGAAATTCTTATCTTCAATTACCCAGCCAAAAGCCACAAGTGTGGCTCAAGTGTGGCTAAATGGGAGTCCACTAGCGCTCACGCACGCACACGTGCGCATGCACATGTGCACACGCACGCATGCATGCGCGTGCGCACACACACACACACACACACACACACACACACACACAAACTCTAACAGGATTATCTTGCAATGTGGGGCAACAGCAACAAGCTGAAGCTCCCATCAGCTACATGACCACTTAGATAAATAGCAGATACTTTACAGCATATTGTGTTGCTAAGCTATGTTTGGTAAGTAGTGTATGAAATGCATCTTGAGAATGATATTTGCTTTCGTCTTTTTCTTTTTTGGGGGGAGTGGTGCTGGAGATTGAACCCAGGCTTGTGCACACGAACAACACAGTCACCAGTCAGTTACGCACAGATCAACCTAATGATATTTCAAATTGATGATGGATTTATCAATATATAAACCCACTGGTTAAGTCATATAACAGCTGCATAGAATTTCAAATTACCTTAATGATTTTGTCCATGTCTCCATAGCACAGGGAGTTAAGAGAGACTTTAAAAGGCTTCCAAACAGGATTCAAGTTATTCTTAATAACCTATAAAGATGTGGATTAAAAGATCTATTAGAACAATATCTAATTCATTAACATTTTGCTCTTGCCTTTCCAAAGCTCTTACTACATTCTATTATTCACTCCTAAACTTTTGACCACTTCTTTCAATAAAAAAAAACCTAGCTAGGACAACATTATATAACTCTCTCATGAAAATTTTAATAAATTGTCCAATTGTATCACATTCCTAATCTTTAGAAAGTGTAGCCAGCTACGGCAGAGTGACAGATGCCTGTAATCCCAGCACTCAGGAGGTTGAGGCAGAGGATAGCAAGTTTGAGGTCAGCCTAGACCACAAAGGGAGACCATTTCTTAGAAAATCATAGAAAATAAGAAAGGAAGAGGAGGAAAAAAAGAGAGGAAGAGAGGAAGAAAGGAGGAAGGAGTGGAGGGAGAAGAGGAAGGGGAAGAGCAGGGAGGGAAGAAAAGGAGTGAGAAGAAGAGAGAAGAAAACTGAAGCTTACTGATTTTGTTGGATACTAGGCATTTCATTGGAGGCGACCATGGAATAAGAATTGGTAAGAATTAACCTTGTTAGATTTAAGTTTGAGACAATTTATAATTTAAAAATTTTTAGTGGCTGGGGCTGGGAAGGTGGCTCAGTGGTAGAGCGCTTGCCTTGCATGACTGAGGCCCTGGGTTCGATTCCTCAGCACCACATAAGCAAAAAGAAAAAAGCCGGAAGTGGCGCTGTGGCTCAAGTGGTAGAGCGCTGGCCTTTAGCTGAAGAGCTGAGGGACAGCGCCCAGGCCCAGAGTTCAGGCCCCACGACCGGACCCAAAAAAAAAAAAAAGAAAAAAATGTTAGTGACATATAAATACTTGTACACAAATATATGTTTCCCAGCTGTGTCCACTGAAAAAGCTGAAAACAATGATATAGCTTGGTATCAATGAGCTCTTCTAGTATTAATTTGTTGAAGTTTAAATCCAATCCCGATGTCTCTTAGAGAAGTAGAGTGTCTTCTGAGAAATGCATCATTCCAACTTTGGGATAGGATAAAATAAAAACATACTCTATAATAAATTAAGAGATTGCTTTGAAACAAATAGGGTCACAATGAACCCAGAAACTATTTGAAGCCTTTCCTACATAGATATGGATTCAAATGAGCAGCAAAAATAATGATATTAAGAATTATAACAATCCAAGTGTTTACAAAGATATAAAAAGAAACCCATTTTCAACCCATTTTAACCAATTCATCAACCGTTTTAACAAAAGATCATCAACAGATGCCATAACTATTAGTAAGCAATTCATATAATTATACACAATGTATTTACTTATTAATTACAAGAATAAAAAAATGAAGCCAGGTGCCAGTGGCTCACACCTGTAACCCTAGCTACTCAGGAGGCTGAGATCTGAGGATTACGGTTCAAAGCCAGCCCAGGCAGCAAAGTCCATGAGACTCTTATCTCCAATTAACCACCAGAAAACCAGAAATGGTGCTGTGGCTCAACTGGTAGAGTGCTCGCCTTGAGCTGAAGAACACAGGGACAGTGCCCAGGCCTATAGTTCAAGCCCCACAACTGACCAAAAAAAAAACAAAAACAAAAAACAATGGAGACTTTATTGTGGCAAGATCTTATGGTCGTCAGCTTAAAACAATCAAATCTAGCATCGTGCAAACTGAGTGCTCAGATGATGGAGCACACAGAGAGTTTTTAACAGATATGCTTGATCAGAGAAGATTCTAGTATATTCAACATTCTGGTCTTAATTATTCAAGAGTTTAAATGACATGAAAGTATAAGGAGGAAAATAAGAGCCCTATATTAGTAGCATAAGATCCAAAGCAAATCATGAACCTTCAATGGATCCTAGACAAAGCAAAACAAATTAGAATGTACATAAGAGGTGTGGGACACCTGAATTCTTACATAGAATGACAATGTTAAACCAGAGGTAATTTTCTCAGGTATGGTAGTGTAGAATGCCTTTTTTCCTTCAGTACTAGGGTTGGAAGAGCCTTGCATTTGCTCTGCCACTTCAGCCACACCCACCCACTCCAGAATGCCCTTGATTTGAAAACTGCTGCTATAGTCTTTATAAATGGTCTTAATGTCCTTGCTTGTATTAGAAGAGTTTTACAAAAGGAAAGTGTACGTGTGCATTAAGTGTGTATGTTCATATGTGTTCAGAAACAGAGAGAAAGGGTACACTAGAGCTAGAGGTAGACAAGTGTGTGCAGGGATGAGCAACAGTGAATTCAGTGAGGGGAAAACAAATGTTCTTTAGGTTACCTGAAGTTTTTTAAACAAAAATAATTAAGCATACTAACATCTCCTCATTAAAAGCAAAAAAAGTAAGCATGCTAACTTTGTATTTATATCCAAACTGAAATTAATGTTCCAATAAATATTTAATCTTTGAAAAATTCAGAAAACTAGAATTCCAAAGAAAACTTCCACTCTACTTTTCAGATTCAGATTTTCACCTCTGTTCGATGAACCATTAGCCAGTTTCCATCTGATGTCTGCTTGTGAAATTCCAGGTATGGATCTGACTTTCCAAAAAGATCCTACATTTGACATAAACAAACATATTCATTCTCCTCTGAAACATGTGTGAACACATTATATGCTTGTAACCTTTTGGTCTAACTCATGTATGAGTTTAAAAGTTCTAATGTAAATCCCATCATTGTTCTCAAAACACATGCATACACACTTACACACAAATGTACAAATAATTCCAGAATGACATATAAATCAATAGTAGAGGACAAACTCAAGTGGTATAATTATGGATGATTTAATTTTTTTCACTTTCTGTCTTTATTTTGAAAGACATATACTACTAAGTATATGTGACTTGCTATTTTTTAAAATGAGAGCACTTGCTAATACTTTGTGCAAGTATGTTTCTGAAGTAAAGATTTATTCCATTGTAACAACACCCAATATTTAAAATCCAAGATAATACTCCTTCCCTGAGCATGAAATTTAATGCAAGCAAATATAACATGTAGTATGCAGCAAAAAGTATAAACAAAATGATTATGCAGAACTTTTTACCTTATTGCTCAGAAGGATCTTACATAAATGAAATAAGCCTCCCAGAGTCCCTCATATTATAAAACTAAGAACAGAATCCTACTTAGATTAGTTAATATTGCAAAAACACATTAACATACCATGTGACTTATCTTAAAAATATTTCCATGGGAAAGGCACAATTTGCTTACTACCATTTTGAAGACTAGAAAACAAACTTTTCTTCAAAGATCATTAAACTGTTAAGTTCCTAACTCTGACCTCCAAGGGAAACAACAAGGTGAAAAAAATATCTTTTATGAAACATTTACTTAAAGGGCCCAGGCTAAAGAATTACTAGTGTATACCACCATACCAAATCATTTAGTTCTTTAAAAAAAAGTCATTTCTAGTGAGGCCCTGGTGACTCACACCTATAATTGTACCTACTCAGGAGTCATAGTTCAAAATCAGCCTGGGCAGGAAAGTCCATGAGACTCTGATCTCCAACTAATGACCAAAAATCAGGAAGTGGAGCCATGACTCAAGCAGTAGAACACTAGCTATGAGCAAATCTCAGAGACAGTACCCAGGCAGAGTTCAAGCCCCAGGAGCAGCACAAAAAAGTAAGTAAATAAGTCTTGTCTATTAAACGTGATGGCATATTCTGCAATCACTAAACTCAAGAGCTCTAGAAACAATGGGGAATAGTATACAACAAATTGTGAGCATCTCTGCCCACACTGTAGCTTCTACATACCAATTCCCCTAAAGATGATAAGACTGCTCTTAATGTGCCTGCCAGTTTGGACCAGAGCTTCCTTTTAAAAACCTCTGACCATAACTGTCTTGCCACAGAGCAAGGACTCTAAAGATCACTAAGGTCATGCCAAAAGGTCTCAGAAATAAACTAAAAGAAGTACCCTCAAAGGAAGGTTCGGATACTTTGAACAAGTTAGCCCATTATAGTTCATAATGTTTAAATCATGAGTTGATACTGATTCTGAAAAAAAATAAAACAAAGTAAACCAAAAATCTCATGGTTATACTTAGAGAATGCTAAGGAACCAGCTTCATCAAAAAATGGTAAATATGGGAGGAAAAAAACCAAATGCTTTAATTTGCCTTCCTCTGTAGATTGTTCTCAAAATAGCTAATGTAGGAAAATGTCCTTCCAAGAAGCATTCTTGTTAGGAAATAAACACACACACACACACACGCACACACACACACACGCACGCACGCACGCACGCACGCACACACACACACACACACACACACACAGGTCTGAGAAGTAACTGAAAAGCTATGTAATACTCAGGTAATGCAATTCATGCTAACTGAATTGCAAATTGAATTTTTTATTTTTTTGTCAGTCGTGGGGCTTGAACTCTGGGCCTGGGCACTGTCCCTCAGCTCTTCAGCTCAAGGCCAGTGCTCTACCACTTGAGCTACATTGCCACTTCCGGTTTTCTGGTGGTTTATTGGAGATAGGAGTCTCACGGTCTCTCCTGCAGGGGCTGGCTTTGAACCGTGATCCTCAGATCTCAGCCTCCTGAGTAGCTAGGATTACAGGCGTGAGCCACCAGCGCCCGGCTGCAAATTGAATTTTTTTTCAATGTGAGGCAAATCTGGTATTTCTTGTTGAATATGCATAATCTACCCACCTTATTATCCAGTTTTCTGGCTTCCATTTCAAATAAGACCACTCTATTATCCTTTATTTCTTCTGCTGAAATCTGAGTAGAGAAGGTAAATGAAAGAAAACCTGATAAGTGATACTGATCACCTTATGAACCAAGTGCTTTTTATCTAATAGTATAGAAAGTCTATTTTAATATATATGACTTCTAAAATAATACTATTAACAAACATTTACCTATTCTTATATGTGTGTGAAATAAGTATTTTTGCCAAATATACCAAGTATACATTATGCAACTCTCTTTTTAAATTCAGTTGCCTAAACTGAATATTTTCTATTCCATAGAGAAATCAAAGCCCTGGAAGGTTTGCACAAAACTAAAATAGCTCCAAACATAAATAAATATGAAGAAATCAAATTTGGGACAAGTCTTTAAAGTGTGTTTTCATCCAATGAAACTGAATTACTTCACTTAAAAACAAATCCCAAACAAAGCTCAACAAGAAATGTACTGATTACCTTACTCATGTAACTGTAACCCCTCTAAAGAACATCTTTACAATAAAATTAAAAACAAAAACGAATCCCAGGCTATCAAGCCCTAAGAGTCATAAAGCTAACTAGTGATAATCTTCTGTCTCATGAAAAATCAACATTCCCAACAGTCTGAACATTCGTTGACCTTTGAAAATCTAACCTAGAACTGTTCCCAGGATCCCAAATTCCACTGTACTACAGAGTGAATCCTTCCCTGAAACCTTTCTACCTCAGTGTACTTGAGAATCTGCCTCTTCAGTCCCTGATACTTTTTTTTTGTTGGTCATGGAGCCTGAACTCTGGGCCTGCGCACTGTTCCTCAGCTCTTCAGCTCAAAGTTAGGGCTCTACCACTTGAGCCACAGCATCACTTCTGGCTTTTTCTGTTTAGGTGGTGCTGAGGAATCCAACCCAGGGCCTCATGCATGTGAGGCAAGCGCTCTACCACTGAGTCACCTTCCCAGCCTCGCTGATACTTCATTTTTATGAACTGACAGGAACTGAAAGGATGAAGAAAACAAAAGCAGAATCTTGTTCCCATGGTATCTTAATACCTGTATTGTTCCTTTCCAAACAGCACATTCCAGAAGTATTGATCAGTACAAATAAGAGAAGTACCAATTAGTCAACAGTTAGGTTCAACTCTACTCAGCTGAGGCAACCTTACTATTTTCTCTGGTTATATCAATCATCTATTAACCCTCATATATTGATTTCTGTTTATGCTTGTAACTTAGGTGCAAGACAAGTTATTTTTATTCTTTGAAATTAAAGATTTGTTTCTCCAGCAAAAAAAAAAAAAAAAAAGAAAGAAAGAAAGAAAAAGAAAATCTAATCTAGAGCCAACAATGCACAGGAAAAATGTATTTGATAAATGCAATTAACTCTTTAACATGTCTCTCTCTAGAGGCCAAGCTTCCAGTCTGAGAAAAAGCATACCAGGCAGTGATTCCCTGGACAGAAATTCTAGAAGCCACAGTGTTTTAAATTGGTCATCATATAATAGAAATCTACAGGATGATAAAGCAGATATTCCTTTTATCAGGGCCAGTAATCTGCCGTGGAAGCAATGGTGGGTGTATAACAGAATATAAGAACTAAAAGCAGGGCTACGAAGGTGGCTCAGTGATAGAGTGCTTGCCTTGCATGCCTGAGGCCCTGGGTTCAATTCCTCAGCACCACATAAGCAAAAAGAAAAAAGCCGGAGGTGGCACTGTGGCTCAAGTGGTAGAGCGCTAGCCTTGAGCTGAAGAGCTGAGGGACAGCGCCCAGGCCCAGAGTTCAGGCCCCACGACTGGACCCCCCCCCCCCCAAAAAAAAAAAGAACTAAAAGCAGTCATAGAGTTTATAGGTTCCATTGCCATCTCTTGAGGAACAATCCACTATGGAAAGGTATGATCCACCAGGATTATCTTAAGCTGGGTAGCTCACACCTGTAATCCTAACCACTCAGGAGGCTGAGATCTGAGGACCATGGTTCAAAGTCAGCCCATATAGAAAAGTCCATGAGAATACAGGTGGACCTGTTGCAACAATGAGAAGTACAAGTTGTCATGTTGAAAACGAACTTTACAACTTGGGGGGGAGGGAGGGATGGGGGGGGAGGGAGGATGGGAAGGGATGGGAAGGGTAAACAAAGGAGGAGGCTACAATGCTTGATAAGAAATGTACTCACTATCTTGCCCATGTAATTGTAACCCCTCTGTACAGTATTTTCACAATAAAAAAAAAATAAAAATTAAAAAAAAAGAATTCAAAGAAAACATGAAAAAAAAGAAATGTACTCATTATCTTGCTCATGTAATTGTAACCCCTCTGTACAGTATTTTCACAATAAAAAATAAATTAAAAAAAAAAAAAAAAAAAGAAAAGTCCATGAGACTCTCATCTCCAAGAAACTATTCAGAAAAGGCCAGAAGTGATACTGTGGCTCAAGTGATAGAGTACTAGCCTTGAGTAAAAGAAGCTCAGGGATAGCACCCAGGCCTTGAGTCCAAGCCCCAGGAATGACACATACACACACACACAAAAAAAGATTATTAAGTAGTTGCATTCTAACTTGGGGCTTGAGCTTCCCTAGGTAAGGGACAAGCATCACCAATTACACCTGATTTCTATCTAGAGGGCAACTTAAAATACTGAAAGAAGGGATCCTCACACCTCATTTCTCTCCTTTTAGTTCAGCACATTATGGAAATTTTGTTATCACTGTGGCAAAGGAGAATGGAAGACAATATTCAAATGATAAAGCATAGCTGTAGAATATTAGTTTGATATATATATATATATATATATATATATATATATATATATATCCTTGTCTATATTTGGATATAACTTCAGCAGAACTAATTGTGCTAAATCTTTTGAAACAAAAAAAATGTCTTTACCGTAATACTCCCTTTTCCAGCAGGTTTTCCATTTTTAAGTACCAGTGGTCGAGTTATCCTCTTACTGGAAACAATCTATTAAAAGTAAAGAGTAAAGAGTAATATAAAGTGCTATTTCATCTCAACATGTAAACATTTAAACTGAATAATTTCAAAAGAAAAGGTTAAGAATAAAGTTCATTTAAACTCATTAGATATGGAAACATTAAAGTCCATTCCTTAGAGGTAAAAAGAATTTAATGACATTTAAAATTTATCTCCACTTTGAAAACTCTGGAAAAGATTTCCCCAAAGCCTACTCTGTCAGATACAATCTCCCTGACCAGTAGTTTCTTTACTAATTGTTTCAAAGTTTAACTTCTCTCTTGTCATGGGAAACTAGGGTCAGATTTTCATCTTCTACACAGATCACTGAGCTGAAACTTTGAAAGATAAAAGGTAGGCCTCAGAACATTCAATAAATGTGATCCAAAATTTCAACTAACACATAAGTTTAATATCTGTTTCCAGAAAACATCACTTTGCTTAGAATAATATTATACACTGACATACTTTCAAGTTGATGTACTTCTCAAATTCATTAGAATTTCAGTTACATAATTTTTATTCAAACAAAACAAGACAAAACAAAATACTTCCTTAATTTTGCCTATTCATGTAAGTTTTACAGATCAGGTCCATTTTGTAATGTCTTTGGGAGAGTAAAAACCATGGTCTCCAAGTAATTCAATACTGAAAAATAATCTCATAAAACACAAATTTGAAGGTTAAATATAACTCATTGAAAATAAAGTAGACTCCTCCCTACGAAAGCTTTCCTCAATTTATACAAATGGTCATGACCTCTTCCAATAAATGAGACAGAGCTAGAAGTTAGTAGTGACAGCACACACATACTTGCTCTGATCAAGTTTATCTTACACAGGTAATAAGGCAGTAAGGCTTTTAAACTGAAATATGATGAGAAGCAGTAGAGTGCCAAGATGAGGTTAGTGAAGTCCTCCATGCTAGTCTAGAGGGTCAGAGAAGGTTCAAGGGGGAAGTGAAGTTTAAGGCAACACCTCTTAGGTGGAAGAAGAGCAAATCAGGTAAACTGGTGGTGCTTGGGTATCAGTCTAGAGGTATCATCATACTCGGAGAACATCAATCAAAAATTAACAATATATCAACAGGATTACAAGTTGACCATAAAAATAAACTATACTGAGCTCAGCAAAGCTGGAATCTTGTTTTTTGTTTTCCTCTATGTGTGCCAGTATCCCGTCTTGAACTCAGGGCCATGGAGTTGTCCCTTAAATTTTTTTGTTCAAAGCTGGTAAAGACCACACTTCTTACTTTTTTCTAGTTAGCTGAAGGTAAGAATCTCATGGACTTTCCTGCTTGGGCTGACTTCAAACTATAATCCTCAGATCTCAGCCTTATGATTCGCTAGTATTATAGGTGTGAGTCATCAGGGGTTTGATTTCTTGAAATGTCTAATAAATCATCCCTAACTCAAAAAAAAAAAAAAAAGAATGCGTTCTGCTAGAAGCATATGGTCCTTAACCCCCTCCACACACACACCACACACCATCATAAATTCAACAACCTTGAAGGCAATCATACTACTATATAAACTCAGTTTCTAAAGTGATTATTTTCCAAGTTTAAAAATGAAACTAGTGAATATTGGTCAAAACATCGAAATTTTGGTTAAAGATTCAGCAAAGAGAGAATGTAAGAGCTATTGGTACTCACTTGTCCAAGGGTACATTCACATTCTCCTAGGAAGTCATCATCACTCAACTCAATGGTTTTGTTGTCGATGTCATAAATTCCAAATTTCAATTTCTGAACCACTTCAAAGTAGTAATCAATAATAAATGTCTTGGAAAACTTGGGACTCAGACAATTCTTAATTCTCTCTGTACGTTCAACCTATACCCAACACCCCAAATGAAAACAAATTAAAAATTTCTTCAGATCAAAGGTGCACTTGGATTTTAGCGTCTTTATGTACTAAATGTACATAAATATACATACATATATGAGTAAGAAACTAAAGGGCGTTTCATATGGAGAATTCCACGAGCCAAGACACATTTTCAAAACAAAAAGCTACAGCAACAAGTTAGATGGCATTACATTTCTAACAGTCTAAAAAAGAAACTACTCCTCACATTGTGAAAAGAATAATTCAAATGGCTTTTTGCCTAAAGTATTTAGTATTACCTCATACCACTGATGTCCACTTGTGTTTAAAAATAACACACACAAAGGGTCTGACTTTGAGGCTACATCTTTATCCAAGAGATTGTCACAGGAAACATTCAGCTCCACCTTGGTAACACACTGGGCAGCCATCTCTGCAGCTATAAGGAAACCAATGAGATGAGAAGGCAGGTGACTGAGTGCCTTTAAGAAACTCACTCACTCCTAGTGGAAACAGCTGATTTTCAAGATCAATTGCTAGATAGGCTTGCAGAGTGAACATGCTGGAATGAGACTGTTTCTCTACGAGACTCCTGGGGATTTGCTATTATGGACTCAGCCCTGTGATGTGACTTTATGCACTTGGCTGATAGTAAAAAGTACCTCTTAAGATGGCAATTAAGACACAGTTATCTTTTCAATTCAGTATACACTTTACCCTTCAGAGAAAGTCCAAGCACAATCTCCATTTCTTTTTCTTTGCTTAAAGCTACACATTGCTACAAAGCACAACAGATTCAATTATTACCTAACTTTTACTTTATTTAACCAAATACATAGGATGTTCCAGTTTTTAAAAAATTTTTTTGACTAAGTAAGAGCCAAACCTTGGGCATAAAGACACCCATTATCCCCTTCCCTCTACTCTTGCCCCCATGTCTGCATATTTTACAGCAATGGTTCTCAATTATGGCTCTTACTAGAACCATCTTTAAAGATGCCAATGCCTGTACCTCACAAAGGCATTTGCTTTAACTGGGTTAGAGTACAACTTGGACATCAGTCACCTAGATTTTCCTAATGAGTGGATATAAGGCTACTGTTCTACAGGGGGCATCCAACTTAGGCCCTCTTCTCTCCTGCTGTGCCAAGGAATATCAGAGAAAATCTCACTTACCCAGGCCCTCCCCCGCTCCCCGGGGGGGGGGGGGGGGGAACACTTGAAGGGGCAGTACTGAAGAATAGCCCTGGAACTGAAAGGAACTGAATCCAGTGCTAGCTGTTTAACTACACAAAATAACTTCATATCCCTGAATCTAGAGTTCCTCATTAGTAAAAAAGGGAGATGCTATCATAACCCTAAATCTGTCATGCGCCAGGAATTTTGTCTTACATTTCTTATACAGTATCTATGGAATAAATTGTACAATTTATCCCACCTTGGTACAAAATGGTTTAGTCTTGTAAAGGATTGTCGGCGATACTCGGGTAGATAATCATAGAAGGAAAAAAAGATCCCTAAAATCCCTGCAACATGTAGAGAAGACTCCATCAGCAATCAAAAAAGTCTTTCTAAGGATAGGGAGAACACAAACAGAGAATGGAGATATTTATGTACTAAGTCTCTACCAAAGAGGTAGAATATTATCAACTGAACGCATTTTTCCCTCTTCAAAACGTTTATATAAAAGCTACAAAACATGTCAGGCATAACTGATTATTCAGCAAACTGCTGACAATTACATTAGTTCTCTGTGGACAGAATGCAAATTGCTCCTATTGTTAGCAGGTCCTCCTCTCCTGAAAATGACTGTGACCTCTGCTTCTCTTTTATGTCTAAAAATCCATTATGTCTGCCTGGGAAGTGGAAGATACTACATAAATGCTCAGGTCTGAAGCCTTCGATTGCAATATTCATGAAGATGCTCTTTCCACTTGCTTTCTAGCAATTATTCAAACATGATATGCAAGTTGTTAAAAGAATAACAGAGTATCTCAGGCACAAATCTGCTTCCAGATAGATTTATTCAATAAGCCTGCCATGAGGATTCTGCTACATCAACTCCAACCCTTTCTTTATAAGTGGAGCTACAGGCCTTCCCATGTATAGTTATAACCCAATATCAAGTCTTTGGTATATGTCCACTGCCTATTGTGTAGCCTTCCTTCTAGCAGGTACTCCACTGCCATCTCGCTACTCCTATCAGGATTTCATCAGTACTGGCTAAAAAATACAGCCAGGCACTGGTGGCTCTTTCTCAGGACACTGAGCTCTGAGGATTGCAGTTCAAAGACAGCCTGGACTGACAAATCGGAGACTCATCACTCCAATTTATCAGCAAAACAAATAAACAAAACTGAAGTAGAAAGTGGTGATGAAATTGAGAGAAACTTCACAAATCCTGACTTGGAAAATGGCTCAACTGGTAGAGTGACTGCTGTGAGGAAAAAAAAAAAACTTGCAAGAGCTTGAGGCTAAGTTCAAGCCTTAATACTGATTAAAAAGAAAGAAAGAAAGAAAGAAGATGATGGCTAACCAGAGCTTACCATATCTTATGAGCTAAACCTGGAATTCTTGACTTAGAGCATATTTGTCCCCAGCTCCTCTGCCTTTCTAAATTCTTTCAGCTCTACACCAGCTAGGTACAGTGGTGCATGCACATAATCCTGGCATTTGGGAGACTGAAGCAAAACTGAGTTTGAAATGACCCTGTCACAAAATAAAACATAACAACCCACTTCAAAGGATACTTTCATAAAATTCATGCTTATAACCAACCTGCTATAATGGCCTTCATCTTTTATTCCTTCCACCGATAAATGCACCCACCTATGTCTTCCTAAAGTAGACATCTGTCACCATTGGCAAATTACTTATCTGTACCTCAGCTTCCTCATCAATGGAATGAAAAGTACATTACAGGTGCAGATTTGTAACTTAATATCTCTTAGATGTGCCATAAATTTCACCAGTAATTTTAGCACTTCCTGAAATATTTTAATAGATTGTCTCTGCATAGATGGCTTACTTTAAAATAGTGGACATAAAGCACCTCTTTCACCCTTGCTTATGAATAACTTTGGAATAATAATAAATGAATCATTAACTATAGAAATTTTCCACAATCCTTTCAGAAGGGTTTGTCTGAGTTACCTAGGCAATGTTAGTGACCTATTTATCCTAAAACAACTGAGAGGGAGAGGGAGTGACCGCCTACAAATGCTTCCCATAAACTTCAGTAACCCTGCAGCTACAAGGAAGGCAACTGGTGATAAGAGAAAATTCTGAGATTTCCTAAATTTAGATACAAAGATTAAGATGGAGGGGCAAGCAGATGAGAATAGATTCAGTTAACAACCCAGGGCCAAAATCACAGTAAGACTGCTCCACCCTACCTTGAAATCCTGGTCTGAAACCCTCAAGAAACACCTAGAAAATGACCTTGCCTTCAGATCAGATCTCCAATCAATAAGTCACTCATACTTCTATTCTAAGACTATTACACGAACTTTGCCCACTTCTCTTTGCCTACAGCCCTCTTATCTACTGCTACTGCAGGCTCAATGTAAGCAATTCATGCTCTATTTTCCCCAAATTTTCATTACAAAATATGCTATCTTTTTAGATCCAGTGGATGTTTTTCAATTGCTACCTAGCCTTGCTACATGTGACTAGAGAAAAATTGTCTCAGATCTAATCCCTTCTTTCATTCCCCTCCTGCATTGCGCTCTCTCTCTCTCTCTCTCTCTCTCTCTCTCTCTCTCTCTCTCTCTCTCTCTCTCTCTCTCTCCCTCCCTCCCTTCTTGCAATTTGGCACAAATCTGCAGTTCCAATGTTAGAAAAACTAGCTTGAAATTGAGAGATCATGAATTTGAAACAGGCTTAAGCTATGATAGTTTAAAAAAAATTATTCAACAATAGCCTGAGATAACATTAGCTATTTCTTTTAATTCTAATACTGTGATTCACTTAAGTGTCATCCTATAATGCACCCTGTGTACACATCTGAAAGCAAGTAGGGATAATCATGGGACAGCTGGAGTGAGGATCAGCAGCATCAGCAGTAAATATCCCACACTGTTACTCAAACTGAATTGCTCATGACTGTAAAACGTGTCTCCTCCAATAAAGCAGCAGGGAGCAGTAAGACTGTACCTCCAAAAGTTGCTACATAATGTGGATGTCCAGAAGTAAGAGCATATATTAAAAGACTACTGCATATGCTCTAGCTTAGCTCTTTTTCAGACAGCTAGCATTCTACCACTTGAGCCACAGTCCTACTCTGTTATATTAATTGGTTAAATAAGAATCTCAAAGTTTTCTGTTGGTGTGTCAAATGGAGATCCTCAGATTTTAAGCTCCTGAGTAACTAGGATTACAGGCATGCACCATCAGTGCCCCAAAACAATCCATTGAATACATTCTTCGTGTCCTAAAAATGGAAGGGGAAAAGCAACAACTGTTACAATGGATAAGAGGGCTGTGGTCAAGGAGAAGAGCCCATAGCTCTGGAAGGAGGATCATTTACAAAACAAAACAGAAATCTAGTTTTTTTTTAATGCAAAATTAAAATTATGCACTTCAGACAGAAAGCAATCCAGTGCTTGCAACTATATTCTATTTTAAAAGAATGAGCACTATGTTGTCACTGATCATTGGATTTTTTTTAAGCCCATTAACTTAACAGGAGAGAAATAAGATAAAAGGGGGAAAAGACAGCTAAAAATTTCATACATCTGGATAGTTTTCCCTTTTTCTAGCTTAGAAAGTGCTTCCAAATAACATTTTACCTCTGACCCTTATGAAAATCATAATGATTACTCTTCATGTTGCTGCAGTGACTAAAATGTTAAACATTCAACTATCTGAACTGACTACCTTAGAGCACGATGATAATTTTCAAAAGATTGATAATTATCAAGACACTGCAAAGTGCCTGTTAGGTAAAAGATGAGTTTCTCCAAGTCAAATTACTCAGCCTAATTCACCACCACTAATAAATGGTAGAACCAAAGCTAGGACACCGATTTCTTTTTCCCACCGTCCCAAAATGCTTTCAAGACATTAAATTAGTATTTGCTTAGTATAATTACAATATTTTTATTTGATTCATTTATTGCTTATTAGTTAATACAACAAATGCCATCTCTATCCTTACACAAATTAATAATAAGGTTTTTAAATGTTCAAGGATATTATTTAGGCTGTATGTCTTTCTTAAACAACAGCAACTTGGCGCAGGAGGGGAAGAACTGGAGAGTTTATATTTGTATCACAGCAGTTCTTTTTGTGGATAGCCCATTAGCCTATAAATGACTTAAGGTTAGGAAGTACGTTCTGCTTCTAGGACATCTCCATACACAGGTAAGCCGGACCATTTTAGACCACCAATATTTATTCTCAAGAATTATTAGCTTTCTGTCGCTGTGACAAAAATAC